TATATGAAATACATAACTCCAGTCTTGTTTGTAGATACCATACTAACTGAGGTATCAACTGAAATGGCTGTGTTTACAGTGGGCCAAGTGTCAGGGTATCCAATGGTCAACAACATCTTGGGTGATTTATAAAGGAATTGTATTGAAATTAGTGTGTTATGGTCAATATTTCACTAATTATCCTTTTAAACACGTACACACCATTCCTTTAACCTTTAAACTGCTTCTATTACCCTTGGTAGATAGACTGAAGGTGCTCCTGTTGCCTGTGGGAGATTTAATGTGCTTCATATTAAACAATTCTTAAAGGTTCTGTGCGTACTTCATTCAATACTAGACATGTCTGACAATTGTTTGCCACATTGGGAAAAAATCTTGAAAGCTTTAGTTGCTATCAGGTGCGTCACCATTCATTTACTGATGCTTGTGGTGGGAAACATTGACTGCAAAATTTCAAGTACCTATACTATACGGTACTATACATTTATGGACCAAGATGATGATTATGATGATGAGAAAGCTATAACAAATACTTCACTTGAATTTTTTTTTTAGACATCAGCAATAAATGTTTTGTGAGGAGAAACGGGAAAAAAAAAGTTTTTTTATATGCAACAGGAGATTGAAAGTGTGTACAGTTTAAGGGGTCAAATAATACAGTACTATAGTTGATGCGTTCAGGCTCAACATTGTCGCTCGTTTCTTGGGAATCACTCTGCACTAAGATCTGATATTAATGTACGAGGTAGCATGTTGTCATCATGCATTGGTAGTTTTTTTAAATTAATTTGGAGATACTCTGTTGTACCCTTACTCAGTTTTAGTGGCAAGATACCGATTTTTGGGTTCCTTTGGCACTTGTTTCCAGTCACTATAAATATTCTTGATGTAGTTTTTTGGTGTCTGCCCTGCCTCCTTGTAGTTTAAGAACTGTACTATTGCTCAGAAACAAGAGAGAACAAATACACTAAAATTCAATAAAATGTTTTCGTGATAAACTACTCAAGTTTTTGGAGCATATATGAAGAGTGAGAGTTTCTATAGTTTTGTTCTAGCCAACTAGGCATTACATGTAGTCAGACAATGACTACTGGCTGGATGTGTACAGCCTTACCCCATCTTTTAGGTTTCACAGCTGGGTCATAAACCTAAATGTTATCATGATAATAGCAATAGAACTTGTATGCAAAGACATACAAGATTCAGGCAAAGACTTAGTAATATGTAAACATTACCATACTTTCTGTAGCACAGGGGACCTTGGAAATTTTTTTTAATGAGTATAATTGGACAGACTTGTTAGGCAAGGAAGTAAATGAGATGTATGACAAATTTTGTGAAATACAGGGAGCCGGTCGGCCGAGCGGACAGCACACTGGACTTGTGATCCTGTGGTCCTGGGTTCGATCCCAGGCACCGGCGAGAAACAATGGGCAGAGTTTCTTTCACCCTATGCCCCTGTTACCTAGCAGTAAAATAGGTACCTGGGTGTTAGTCAGCTGTCACGGGCTGCTTCCTAGGGGTGGAGGCCTGGTCGAGGACCGGGCCGCGGGGACACTAAAAAAGCCCCGAAATCATCTCGAGATAACCTCAAGATAAGATATACACGATGAAGGTACACAAGCATTCATGCCAACACAGAGATGCGGACCTAGGAAATAGGGTTGGTTCAACAGAAATTGCGAGAGGGCCAGTACTAAAAAGACACAAAAATGCAATCAATATAGCAAGAGGCCAAACATACCAGCGATATAAAGATGAGAGACAACTACACGACAGTGAGGAGGGACACAGAAAGGAATTTTGAAAAAGGGTTAGTGGAGAAATGTAAAACAGAACCAGACCTATTCTATAAATTCATAAATAACAAATTGCAGGTAAAGGATAATTAATATTCAGAGGTTGAAAGTGGGAAACAGATTCACGGAAAAGGAAATGTGTGAAACATTAAAAGAAAAGTTTTAAAGTGTGTGTGTGCAAAATAAAATCTTCAGGGAACCAGACATAATAAGAATTCAAGAGGACAACTTAGAGCACATAGAGGTGTCTAGAGACAAAGTGAAAAAAATGCTTAAGGGGCTAAGTAAGAACAAAGCAGTTGGTCCAGATGGAGTTTCACCATGGGTTCTGAGAGAATGTGCACCTGAGCTCAGCATTTCACTTCAGCTGATTTTTCAAGCATTCCTCTGTACAGGAGTCACAGCAAATGTGTGAAAAAAGGCTAATATAATTCCAGTCTACAAAAGTGGCAGCAGAGACCACCCCCTAAATTATAGACCTGTATCATTGACAAGTGTAATAATTAAAACATTGGAAAAATATTAAAACAAAGTGGATAGAACACCTGGAGAAAAACGGTATATCATCAGTCAGTATGGTTTTCGATCTGGAAGATCCTGTGTAAGGAATTTACTCTGTTTCTATGATCAAGCCACAGAGATTTTACAGGAAAGAGATGGTTGGGTTGACTGCATCTATCTGGACCTAAAAAAGAAGGCTTTCGACAGAGTTCCACATAGGAGGTTGTTCTGGAAACTGGAACATAATGGAAGGGTGACAGGTAAGCTTCTAACATGGATAGAAAAATGAGGGCAGTAATCAGAGGCAATGTATTGGACTTGAGAAATATCACAAGTGGAGTACCACAGGGTTCAGTTCTTGCACCGGTAATGTTCATTGTCTACATAAACGATCTTCCAGATGGATTACAGAATTATATGAACATGTTTGTTGTTTGCTAATGATGATATGATAATAGGAAAGATAAGAAACTTAGATGATTGTCATGCCCTTCAAGAAGAGCTTAACTGCATTGTTGCTCTTAGTCATGCATATCCTTGATGAGTGTCCTGATTCCCTGGACGAGCGTGTGTCTTGCTTTCCGACCGCCCCTCGCGGTCACCTGTCCCTCGATAGCATTCTTGGTGACTCGGATACTTTTGATATCGTTCGCCTTATGCGTTTTTGTTCTCGTATTGGCATCCTTGGTGATATTTAGCGCCCTCTGATTATTTTGCGTACTTGATGGTGCTACATAGCCTTCCCGGTTTGGTGCCTTCTTTTGATAATTACTTACTTACTTACTTCTGATAATTAATTACTTACTTACTTCAAGAAGACCTTGAAAGTAAGTAAATGGAGCACTATTTGCCTAATGGAATTTAATGTGAATAAATGCCATGTTATGGAATGTGGAATAGGAGAACATAGACCCCACACAACTTATAAATTATGTGAGAAGCTTTGAAGTCTTTAAAGAATTCTGATAAAGAAAGAGATCTAGGGGGGTTCTAGATAGAAAACTATCACCTGAGGACCACATAAAGAACATTGTGCAAGGAGCCTATGCTATACTTAGAATTTCTTTTAAATACATGGATGGCAAAATATTCAAGGAATTGTTCACGACTTTTGTTAGGCGGAAAGCTGGAATATGCATCGGTTGTATGATGCCCATATCTTACGAAACACATCAACAAACTGGAAAAGGTGCGAAGACATGCCAATAAGTGGCTTCCAGAATTGAAGGACAAGAGCTACAAGGAAAGGTTAGAGGCATTAAATATGTAAAAACTAGAAGATAGAAGAAAAAGAGGTGATATGATCACTATGTACAAAATAGTAACAGGAATCGATAAAATTGATAGGGAAGAATTCCTGAGACCTGGAACCTTAAGAACAAGAGGTAATAGATTTAAACTAAGTAAACAAAGCTGGCAAAGAAATGTAAGAAAAATTCACTTTCACAAACAGTGGTAGACGGTTAGAACAAGTTAGGCGAGAAGGTGGTGGATTCTAAACCCATAAGTAATTTCAAAACGTTACATGACAGTGTGTTGGGAAGACAGGACACCACTAGCGTAGCTCTCGTCCTTTAACTGCACTTAGGTAATTACACTTAGGCAATTACATTACTGTATTTTGGCATGTTTTCGCAACAGCCTGATTCAATATAATCATTGCTTTGATCTTCCTGCCAGTGAGAAAGTTTTTCATCAACTCAAGTAGCCTATCTGTTATTCCTGCATGTTCAAACTTATAGAACAATCTCTAGTGTGGTCAGGTAAATGCAATCATTCAAATCCTCTCTCATATAAAATCTCAGTGACCCTGTCATAAAACTTTAATATTGTTCATTGATTACACATGCATGATCTTAATGCTCTCAAACTACACTGTCTAGTACTTAAACACTGGTCTTCTGTCACCTTTATCATAAAGTGTGTGTGTTTGCCATTCTTCAGTTGTCTGCAATGTCTTGCATTTGCAGTGATGCCTGGAAAATAATCTTTAATGGGTTGCTCAGCTCCTGAGTACATTACATAGAACCTAAAGTGAAGCTACTGTATATGGCTCTACTGCCTTGTTTCTACCTAAACTTGAGGAACAATATTTTGAACTTGTCTCTAGGATACCACTAGGTAGTCTTTGCTGTGTTCCAAACACCATGGTGTGGCTGGAGAATGATGATCACTTTGAAATTCATCATTCAGCATCCAACACATTTCTTGTGTTGTCTCCATAGGTGTGTGTACTCGTATAATACATACAGGGCAGTCTTTGGCTTCCAGTTCCTGCCTTTCATTCATCGATCTCCTACTGCAGTGACTTCTGACTTGTTTGTCATTCCTAATATTTAAACTATTGATAGATTATCTCAATTGTCTTCCCTTTCAGCTCACACTACTTACTCAACGTTCTTGCACTAAAAAAGTGCTTATTTACATCCTAAGGGTTCATCTGGTTTTCTAGGGTTGTCCCATGCCCTCTTTCTGATTCAGTTCCTGTAAAATATTTTGTGTTGTACTCCTTGCTCTGGCAACATGATTAAGAAGTAAGATTCAAGGTGAATGATAAAACATCCACCTTTCCCTTTCAATTGCTCCAGCAATTTTGCCAACAATTGATGGGTCTAGTCACACGCTGTCTTAAATTTATTTAATGGGTTTAGTTTTAAAATATATAATTATTGAAATGTATTTGTATTTTTTTCCCCGCAGCAAATGGAAAGATTTAAAGTGGTAGAAAGAGAAACGAAGACCAAAGCGTACAGTAAAGAAGGTCTCGGGGCAGCACAAAACAAGGACCCAGCTCAGCGGGAAAGAGAAGAAGTCAACAATTGGCTTAGTTCCTCTATAGATACCTTAAATATACAGGTGAGTTATACTGTATATGGAATAAGGTCTATTAGTATTAAACTACATTACCAAGGTAGTCAGAGGAGTTCTTCGATATTAGTTTTATATGTTGATCAGAAGTAGATATGTCATAAAAATTTGTTTGCATAAGGCATGCTTTAGATTGTAAGGCTTTATTTACAATCTAGATTATAAACATGAAAATAAATGCTGTAGTAAGAAATTTAACAGTGTAGAAGCACGGATCTTTTATAATGTCCCAAGTGTTCATCAAAGAATTGCATTCAGTTTAGGAATTGAAATTTCTAAGAATTTTTGATGATGTATTGGGATCTGATGAAACAAAACACATTGTGCTTGTTATTGCCTATAGCTGGCTTTAGTTGATACTTGATATACAGTATCCTATCCAGAATTTAACAGCAAAACTCCACTATGATTTTTGCATTTATTGTAATTACATGTACTTTATACCTTATGGTGGTTCCGAGGATCAACACACCCTACAGCCTGGTTTGTGATCTGGTCAACCAGGCTGTTAGACATTAGTTGCTTGTAGTCTGACACATGTCACTGCCTGGATGATCAGGTATCCATGAGATGTGTTTTTATCAAGTTCTCTCTTGAGCACTGTGAGAGGTTGGCCAATTATGTCCCTTATGTTTAGAGGGAATGTGTTAAACAGTCTTGGGCCTTGGATGATATTAGAATTGTCTCTTAGCATACCTATTGGGTTAACCTCTGCTCATTGTAACATTTGCATTGCCTCCTGATCTTATGTGGAGTTATTTCCATGTTCAGATTTGGAAACAGTTTCTCTAGTGTTAATCAAGTGTGTGTGTGTGTGTTCCCCCCCCCCCCCCACTCCCCTCTCTCCCCTCTCCCCTCTCCCCCCTCTCTCCCCTCTCCCCTTTCCCCCCTTTCCCTCCCTCCCCCCCTTCCCCCCCTTTCCCTCCCTCCCCCCCTTCCCTCCCTCCCCCCCTTCCCCCCTTCTCCCCCTTCCCCCCCTCCCCCCCTTTCCCCCCCCTCCCCCCCTTTCCCCCCTCCCCCCCTTTCCCCCCTCCCCCCCTTTCCCCCCTCCCCCCTTTCCCCCCCTCCCCCCTTTCCCCCCCTCCCCCCTTCCCCCCTTTCCCCCCTTCCCCCCTTTCCCCCCTCCCCCCTTCCCCCCTTTCCCCCCTCCCCCTTTCCCCCCCTCCCCCCCTTTCTCCCCTTTCCCCCCTCCCCCCTCCCCCCCTTTCTCCCCTTTCCCCCTCCCCCCTCCCCCCCTTTCTCCCCTTCCCCCCTCCCCCCTCCCCCCTCCCCCCTTCCCCCCCCTCCCCCCTTTCCCCCCTCCCCCCTTTCCCCCCTCCCCCCCCCCCCCTCTCCCCCCTCCCCCCCTTTCCCCCTCCCCCCCTTTCCCCCCTCCCCCCTCCCCCCCTTTCCCCCCTCCCCCCCTTTCCCCCCCTCCCCCCTTTCCCCCCTCCCCCCCTTTCCCCCCTCTTTCTCTCTTTTTTTTTCTTTTTCTTTTTTTTTTTCTTTTTCTCTTTTTCTTTTTCTCTTTCTCTTTTTCTTTTTCTCTCTCTTTCTCTCTCCCTTTCTCTCTCCCTTTCTCTCTCTCTCTCTCTCTCTCTCTCTCTCTCTCTCTCTCTCTCTCTCTCTCTCTCTCTCTCTCTCTCTCTCTCTCTCTCTCTCTCTCTCTCTGAGAGCTATTGTCGCCATCTCAGTGATATGGCTTTCCCAGAAAAATTCATGAAGTTACGAATGAGGTCATTGGAGTTTAACATCATCTACTAATAACTGACGACAAATATTTTGTACAATATGGTTGAATCAAGGTAGATGATAGAAAGCTGAAGATAAAAGGAAAGCAAGAGAAAATAGGAATGATAAATTCTCAGGTATATATTGTTTTGTATGAGAGTATGTATGTTTTGTATGATTAATCTGTTTAAAGATTTTGTAAATTTTCACATTTTCTGTTTGTTTTTACAGATGGACCAATTTGAATCAGAAATTGAGTCTTTAATGGCAACGCAAAAGAAGAAGAAGATGGATAAAGATAAGTCTGATCGGATAGAAGACCTCAAGGAGTACATAGACAGACATCAATATCACATTAAGAAATTGGAAATTCTTATGAGAATGCTTGACAACCAATCCATAGACTGTGATCAGGTCAATATTTTGTGTGCTTTGGTAATATTTTGTAATATTTGTATACTGGATGTGGGGATTTTATACGTTTGTTTCTCTAGGATCATAGTATTGAACACCGATGAAAATTATGAGGGGGGAATATTTTGTGTGGCTATGATGGGGTGCAGGGTAGAACTGGGAGACTTATAGCCGTGATGGAATGCAGGATTCGTGTGTTCGAGACTTAACAGGCATGTTCTGGTATGGCGTTGCTGTGCTGGTGAATGAACACCTAAGGGTAAACGAAATAATGATTACCAATCCACGATAAGTTGACGTAATATTATGAAGTTGAGCAAATTATAGGCGCTGAGCCATGGTGCGCTCGGGGACGCTCGACCCTGCCAACCCGTGGGGCAGCAGTTGCCGCAGATATAACGTTTCACAATTATTTTGATGTTTCTCATTCGTTTCATCTCTCTCTCTTTTTTTTTTTTTTTTTTTTTTTTTTTTTTTTTGCTGTAATATTATTCAAAAGTGTGTAATTTGTGGAATATCGCTATGCTGAAAATTATGAGGCTCATATATGGGACATGTATATTATGCGATCACTCAGTGTTTTTGCTGTTATTACACTATATGTACATATTGTATATACCTATCTACATGTGTGTTCACCATAACGAACCACTAAGTTGGTATAGTGAGCCCAAAACAACAAGAGTGGCTGCGACACAGCAGCCAGCTGGCTGACTCCCTCCCACCTTCAACACCCACTGACCAACATTCTGCCTCCCACCATACTGTTGTTCTTATTACACTATTTACACACGTTATATATAAGTGTCTACATGTTTTATTCACCATAACTGTACAACTAAACTGGTATGAAGAGTTGAGACAATAAGAGGTGGCACCACACAGCTGATGGCTGCCTCCCTCACTGGTTCAAGGCCAGATGCACTAACATTCCTTCCATGACAATAGTGTTTGTGGTGTTATTACACTATATTCACTATATAAGTATCTACATGTTTTATTCACCATAACTGTTCAGCTAAACTGGTATGATGTCCAAACCAAATAGCATAGTGGCCACTGCATGACAAGTCAGACAGCAGGTAGCAGATGACAGCCTCACCCACTCCCTCACCAAAATGGTTCCTCCCAACAAACTCCTTATGCTGTTATTACACTCTATACACACGTTATATATAAGTATCCATATTTGTGTTCACCATAATGAACCACTAAGCTGGTAACGTGATTCCTGACAATAACATGTTGGCACACACAAGCCAGCAGACAACGCTATCTCCATCCCTCCCTCGCCAACAATACTCTTCCCACATCGCTAATTCTCACCACAATCCTGCTATTATCAGAATCCTGGTCACTAAATCATGTAAATGAATAATTTTCCACATGTTTATTTTGTAAAGGAACGCGAGAAGTCGTTTGAAGAATTTTAGGTGGACAAAATAATGGCAGTGTTTTGTGGCTACCTCTATGAACATCTTGAACAACATTTATTCACTGATATCTGAACCTTGTACACAGTCTTTATCACAGGCTCTTCTGTAATACTATCATGACTAAATTATACCAGATACATATATATTTGGACATTTTTAGGCAATACTGTGGTCACAAGCTGAACAGCAATGCTGTTAGCTCATGCTGCGTGCACCAGCCTTGGTTACTTACTCAGTACTGAGGCCTTCACAACTGGGAATGTTGTCCACAATTTTTTTTTTAAATGGCATCTGTTTAGGAGAGCCCTGGGGAAGCCGTCATGAACCTTGTGTAGCCGCGGGAGGTTTGAATAATACACTATACAGTATCTATGAAAGCCCTGAGGCACATTGTGCACCACCCATCGACAGTCTCAAGTCGCGTTGCGCAGTGCAGTGTAGTGAGTATAATTGGTCAAACTTGTTGCTAGGCAAGGAAGTAAATGAGATATATGTCAAGTTTTGTGAAATACTGTATATGATAAAAGTGCAAAAAAATTTATACCAAAGCAGAGATGCAGAACCAGGAAACAGGATTGGTTCAACAGAAATTGTGAGGGCCAGAGACTAAAAGGTACAAAAATGGAATCAATATAGGAAGAGGCAAAACCCCCAAACATACCATCGATACAAAGATGCGAGAAACAACTACACGGCAGTGAGGAGAGAGGCAGAAAGAAATTTTGAAAAAAGGATTGTGGACAAATGTAAGATAGAACCAGGCTTATTCTATAAATTCATAAAGAACAAATTGCAGGTAAAGGACAATATTCAGAGGTTGAAAATGAGAAACAGATTCACAGAAAATGAAAAGGAAGTGTGTGAAACATTAAACGAAAAGTTCCAAAGTGTGTTTGTACAAAATGAAATCTTCAGGGAACTAGACCCAATAAGAATGCCAGAGAACAACATAAAGCACATAGCGGTGCCTAGAGACGAAGTGGAAAAAATGCTCAAGGAACTAGGTAAGAACAAAGCAGTTGATCTAGAAGGAGTTTCACCATTAGTTTTTAGTTTTAAACTACCTAACAAAGCAGCCGGAGAAATAAAAGAAAATTCATTTTCGCAAACAGAATGGTAGACAGGTTGGAACAAGTTAGGTGAGCAGGTGGTAGAGGCCAAAACCGTCAGTACAGTAACCGTCATTCTGTAACTACACTCAGGTAACTTACACTTAAGTAATTACCATGGGTTCTGAGAGAGTGTGCATCTGAGCTCAGCATTCCACTTGAACGGATTTTTCAGGCATCCCTGTGTTCAGGAGTCATAGCAGATGTGTGGAAAAGGGCTAACATAGTTCCAATCTATACAAAAGTGGCAGCCACAAAGACCCCCTCAATTATAGACGTGTATCATTGACAAGTGTAATAGTCTAAATATTGGAAAAAATAATTAAAAGTAAATGGGTAGAACACCTGGAGAAAAACGATATAATATCAGACAGACAGTATGATTTTCGATCTGGAAGATCCTGTGTAACGAATTTACTCAGTTTCTATGATCAAGCCACAGAGATTTTACAGGAGAAAGATGGTTGGGTTGACTGCATCTATCTGGACCTAAAAAAGGCTTTCGACAGAGTTCCACATAATAGATTGTTCTGGAAACTGGAACATATTGGAGGGGGTGACAGGTAAGCTTCTAACATGGATGAAAAATTTTCTGATAAAAAAAGGAGGGCAGTAATCAGAGGCAATGTAACGGACTTTAGAAATATCACAAGTGGAGTACCACGCGGTTCAGTTCTTGCACCGGTAATGTTCATTGTCTACATAAATGATCTTCCAGATGGATTGCAGAATTATATGAACATGTTTGCTGATGATAGGATAATAGGAAAGATAAGAAACTTAGGTGACTGTCATGCCCTTCAAGAACACCTGGGCAAAATAAATATGTGGAGCACCACTTGGCAAATGGAATTTAATGTGCACAAATGCCATGTTATGGAATGTGGATTAGAAGAACATAGGCCCCACACAACCTATAAATTATGTGGGAAATCTTTAAAGACTTGTGATAAAGAGATTTAGGGGTGGTTCTAGATAGAAAACTGTCACCTGATGACCACATAAAGTCATCAGGTGATGACTTTATGGTCATTAGGTGCTACTTTGTTCAAGGAGCCTATGCTAAATTTTCTATCTACAGAATTGCTATTAAATACATGGATGGCGAAATACTAAAGAAATTATTCATGCCTTTTGTTAGGCCAAATCTAGAAAATGCAGCGGTTGTATGGTGCCCATATCTTAGGAAGCACATCAACAAACTAGAATAGGTGCGCAGACATGCAACTAAGTGGCTCCCAGAACTGAAGGACAAGAGCTACGAGGAGAGGTTAGAGGCATTAAATATGCCATCACTAGAAGATAGAAGAAAAAGAGGAGATATGATCACTATGTTCAAAATAGTAACAGGACTCGATAGAATTGATAGGTAAGAATTCCTGAGACCTGGAACTTCAAGAACAAGAGGACATAAACTTAAGCTAAGGAAACAAAGGCGCCGCGAAAACATTAGAAAAGTTTCTTTTGCAAAGAGAGAGTGGTAGGTGGTAGGAACAAGCTAACTGAGGTGGTGGTGGTGGAGGCCACCACCTCATTATACCTACCTGTAGTGTACACAGGCTTCTGTAGTGAGCATTATACCTACCTGTAATTCTTACACTTGTTTGTATTTATTACAGCAGCATATACACACATTTTATGTTTCCATTATTATTACATCAGCTCCCTGAATTTTGTAATATTCCTGTGTATTGATAACCTCCTACATTCATAAGAAAATGATTTGTTAATGTAAAATAAGGTATATTAATTGGTTTTAACTTTGTATTTTGTTATTTTTAATTTGCAGATTAAAATGATTAAGGAAGATGTTGAATACTACATCGAGTCCTCGCAAGATCCCGATTTCAATGAAAACCTCGGGTTGTACGATGACATTGACATGGACGACTTGGACTACCCAACTCCAGAAATAACTGTAGGCAAAGTAAGTGGAGTACTTAACCATACTAACCCTTCCTGCCTTTGATATCAGTAGTTGAAGTAGTTGCATGCTCAGGGGTTCCATCAAAGGTGGGAAGAGGGGGTTACTTCTTAGGCAACTGGGGGAGTCATGGGATATGCAAACTTAGTCTTTTTTAGCCTTCATATATGTTTGAATTATATTGAAGGTTATCTCATTAGGACAGCTTTAAGAAAGAACCCTCATTGCTTTTGTAGTTATTTCTTTTTAGTCAGATATGGTGATAAGAATTTATTTTGCTAAGTACTGCTTGTTTTGAAACCCTGTATTTTTTCCTTACAGTAGTGGAGCCCCTGAATGTGAAAGGGGAATGGCATTTAAATTATTATTTCTTCATGAAGGTTATATTGCAAATATTTAAAATGTTTAACCATTGTACTGCGCATTACCTAGTTTAATATGACAGTCCCCTGTGCGTGTAAAAAAAAATTATTTCCCAAGTTTTTTCTTTCTAATAATTACACTTTTGATACCCAATGATGCATATTCCATCATAAAACCAAAATATGGAGATGAGGCAAATGGCGTCAATAATTTTTTAAATTTTTTAGAAATTCCATTTATTGTCCAAATACTATGGGACATGTTTTTAAAATGCGTGCCAACGTCTGCACATTCTCTGTATACCCCGGTGAGCCGGTGGCTGAGCGGACAGAACACTGGACGTGTGATCTTGTGGTCCCGGGTTCGATCCCGGGCGCCTGCGAGAAATGATGGGCAGTTTCTTTCACCCTGATGTACCTGATACCTAGCAGTGAAATAGGTACCTGGGTGTTAGTCAGCTGTCACAGGCTGCTTCCTGGGGGTGGAGGCCTGGTCGAGGACCGGGCCGCGGGGACACTAAAGCCCCGAAATCATCTCAAGATAACCCTACATTGCATCCTGACCCCCGCCTTGTGGGCGCCCACCTACGCTGGAGGCTCGCTGTTTTTATGGCCTCGCTCGTGACCTCACTCATGACAGCCGCGGCCTCCCCTCGAGTCGAAAAGTTTCCCCTTTCCGGGTTATTTTATCTCGGGTATTTGTTTTTACCGGCTTTGTAAATGCTGCAAATATACTTCCAGATGGATACTGATCAAGAACAGAGCCAATCCATGATGAAAGCATTGAAAGGAACACCTATGAGGGAGAAGTTATTGAGTTTTTGTCGAAAGTATAGAAAAGTGAGACTTGTATGTTCTTGTATGCAAATATATATCTACAGCATTCTATTGCAAACAGTTTGATACCAAATTGAATGATGTAGTATGAAAAATTGAAGTGAGAAAGCTGAAAAGAGAATAAACATTGGAATGGTGAGCTCTTGGGCACCGCTCGGGCTATCTTGCTGTGTGCAGTGGGTCTAAAGTATAAGAAGGAGAAACTTACATGTTCTTATATGCAAATACAGTACTCCTTAAGAGCATTCTATTGCAAACAGTTTGATACCAAATTGAACGACATAGCAAAAAAATTTATATCAGAGAGCTAAAAAGAGTACAAGGGTACCTCAGTTTAAGAGTTTAATCTGTTCCTGGAGACGGCTCGTAAGCCGAAGCTAAATTCCCCATAAGAAATAATGGGAAATGAATTAATCCGTTCCTGACTACCCAAAAACCTCACTTCAAACTAAATTTTATACCTAATTCATCTAAATCTACACTACCAAAGTATGTTCAAGTTATTACTTACCCTTGCTGATGACTGGTGTTGGCATATGGAAGATGGTGAGGAGGGGAGGAGGAGATGTATTACTGTTTGGAAGGGGAGTCCCCTTCCATTATAACATCAGTCAGTGAGGACACCTCTGGAGTGCATTCTCTGGCACGTTTTGCCTGCATACCACTAGGTCCTGGTTATGGCTCACTACTCGATTTTCTCACAACAAAGCGATCCTTTGATGATTGTTTTTCCCTTCTTCGCAAGATGTCTCTGTAGTGAGGCATCACATTGTCATTGAAAAGATTAATGCAACGGCCTACTACAGCTTTCTCTGGGTGAGTCGTTTCAATAAAAGTTTGCATTTCTTCCCACATCTGACACCACTTCTTAATGGTTGCGGAAGAGACATTCGCTGCTACCTCATCCTCCTCCACTGGAGAAACATCCTCAGCTTGGTCTTCTTGCTGTTCCTTTTGAAGGGCTTGGAGTTTTTCGATGGGCAATTCTTCGTTGTGTTCTTCCACCAACTCCACATCAGCACCATCCAATTCCAAGCCCATTTGCTGGCCCAGAGTAACAATTTCCTCAACAATACGCACATCATTTAAAGGCTCAAACCCCCTCAAAGTCTAGTTCGGTCACACATTCAGGCCACAATTTTCTCCAGCCAGAGATCAGGGTTCTTTGAGTCACTTCTTGTCAGGCTTTGTCAACGAGTTTTAAAGCACTACAAATGTTAAAATGGTGTTTCCAGAACTCTGAGGGTGAGATTTGTGGCTTCAATCACTTCAAAAATTTTCGGAAAAGTGCCCTTTCATAAAGTTTCTTAAAATTTGCTATGATTTTCTGGTCCATAGGCTGAATTAGAGGAGTGGTGTTAGGAGAAAGGAACTTTACTGTGAGAAAATTACTGTATCTGTGCAACAATCATCTTCCAAGCCTGGAGGATGAGCAGGAGCATTGTCGAGGAGAAGCAGGGCCTTGAGTGGGAAATGTTTCTCCTGTAGATATTTTTCTATGGCAGGGGACACCACTTCATTCACCCACTCCGAAAAAAAAATCCTAGTCACCCATGCCTTATTATTAACCCTCCACATCACACACATTTGGTTTTTCTGCACTTTATACTGTTTGAAAACCCTTAGATTTTCAGAATGATACACAAGCAAGGGTTTAACTTTCAAATCACCACTCGCATGTGAACATAGCACAAGCGTAAACTTAATTTTCATAGGCTTTTGTCCGGACAAGGATTTTTCCTCCTTGGTAACGTATGTCCTCTTAGGCAATCTTTTCCAGAACAGTCCTGTTTCATCACAATTAAACACTTGTTGCAGTAGGTATCCCTCAGCCTCCGCAAACTCTTTAAATTCTTCAATAAATCTTTCTGCTGTTGGTTTGTCTGAGCTGGTAGCCTCTCCATGCCTCACAACACTATGAATACCACTTCTCTTTCTAAATTTTTCAAACCATTCCCTGCTTGCCTTAAAGTCTATCGTATCTGCACTCGTTCCAGGGGTTTTCTTTACAAGGTCTTCATGCAATACCCTGGTTTTCTCACAAATGATGGCCTCTGAAACACTATCACCCTTTAACTCTTTGTCGTGTATCCAAATTAATAACAACTTTTCCACTTCCTCAAATATTTTTGGTCTTTGTTTTGTGATTGTTCTTAAGCCTTATAATAATGTGGGAGATAATTCTTAAGCTAATATAATAATGTGGGAGCCGGTCGGCCGAGCGGACAGCACTCTGGACTTGTGATCCTGTGGTCCTGGGTTCGATCCCAGGCGCCGGCGAGAAACAATAGGCAGAGTTTCTTTCACCCTATGCCCCTGTTACCTAGCAGTAAAATAGGTACCTGGGTGTTAGTCATCTGTCACGGGCTGCTTCCTGGGGGTGGAGGCCTGGTCGAGGACCGGGCCGCGGGGACACTAAAAAGCCCCGAAATCATCTCAAGATAACCTCAAGAAGAAGCCTTTTGCCACTTTAGCACTCATAATGTCCTTTTTCTTGGCAAGTATAGTGCATATTGTTGACGTGGCTTTGTTGTACTGCCTATAAAGTTCAACAACACGTGCACCATTTTCATGCTTCCGAATGATCTCTTGTTTTTCATCCATTGTCATCCTCACATGCGATTTCTTGCCTTGATCCTTACCACTGGCTTTCTTGGGACCCATGGTGAGATATATATAATAACAACTTTTATGGTCAAATGGCCAAAAATCCAACAAAACACTGTAAATCCTTGTGAAGAATTCAGGCGGGATAGTCACTGGGCGCAAGGCACTGGTAAACTGAGGGGCAATCGCCGTGTCACCACGCGCTAAGTCGACCTGTACGCATATCGACACCGTCGTTTTCCGAGGCAACGCTTGTATTCCGATGTAAACGCTGGGTTTTTTGGGGTGATTTTTTTCACTGATTTCAAACTCTCTTTTCTTTGTCTCTTTAGGTGGTTTTGATGATTAGGGACCAGATTAGGGCTTTACCACTTATATAAAGTATACACATGTATATATATCCCCTAAATCATTATAATTATCCCTATATTTGTTTTTTGGGGGGTTATTTTTTCTTGACTTCATTTCAACACATATTGACTTACAACCTTCACATATTTGAGTATGAATGCCAAACAATGTTTATTAAAACATACAAGTAAATTAATGAATTAGAACTACCTTATTCATTGTTGATATGTTCAAATTCAATTATCTCTAAAACGTAAGGGCCCCTTTTCAAGTTTCAGTCGGCATCAAAAATCCAGTTTGACTGATTCTCACCATTTTTTCATATAGTGGGCACAGCTGTCTGTTCTACAATCCTATCTGATTGTTTTTTCATAAACCCTAAATGTTGGGAGTTATTAATGTTTTGGTCAAAATTTGGTGCATATTTCAAAGGCCATATTGACAATTTTTTTACAGTAAACTATATTGAATCCTATAATAATAACATAAAAATGAAGATCATATGTTCTTCTGAGAGCATAATAACACAAAATGAACAGTTTGTGATATTTAATATGTTGATGCTCATTTGAAAATCTGAAATTTTCAATAGTTATTTTATAATTATTTTTCATTTTCTTTTTTTCAAGTTACGTTGGTGATTATTTAGACAAAGTTGGAGCATGTGCCTAGTAGATTATGTACAAAAAATTTGAAAGTGTTTGAGCAAGGTGCAAAATTTCATTTCCCGGCCCCTTAACTTCAATTCTGACCAGCATTGTTTCTGGTTGTCTGTTCTCAACTCTCCTTGGACACTAATCTGATTTAGGTTTGAAGATTTCCTGGAACATCTTGAGTTCTTCACAC